ATGCTTAGAATGTAAGAAATTTAAGGGGAAAAAATAAAAAATAGGGGGAATTGCATACCTCCAACACTTCACGAGTTCAGAATTAACCCAGTTGGATATCTAGAAACAATTTAATCAGAAGCTCATAGATCAGACCTGTAAGGCTGTATACTAGTGTCAGGTTTTGTGCTGGTCCCAAAATGTATTTCAATTTGAGAGAATGAAAATGGGCATTATTTTTAGATGTACTTCATGCAGAAGATGTGTTAAAAAATCTACTTGAGTTGAAAATTTTTGAGTATGTAATTAAAACATTTCTTGATAGATTTAGTTCTCATTGATTTTAGTAATAAATATTTCACCACAAGCTATATAATACAGAATGTTATTTGTGACAGTGTGTTAATTCCAGATTCTTTCAATAAGTAACATGTAGTTTTACACAGGTCATTTTTATCCATATAACTCTTGTAAATGCTAGATGTGCATGATTAAGTTTTCTTGAAGGTATATTTGTTCAGGTGATAAAAATAATGTGATCCCTAATCTTTCCTAAGTTACGTTGTCTTTGAGCAGTATACCAGTAATAATAAAATAAATAGCAAGCCTGCAAAGCCCAATTCTGTGGAGAAAAGGGGGGAAGCTCTCTTGAAGAAGTTCCCAAATGGCCTGAATAAATGTTTCAGTTTCTGTTGTAACTTTTTGATTACATGGTCAGAACACAGCTGCTTTTGGCTACCCCAGTGCATAGACGTGAGCTCCCATAACCAGTCATGTATTCTGGGCAGAACTTTTCCAATATCCAGAAGCCCAGCTCTACAAGCTTCTCTTCCCCACTTCCTTGCTGTTTAATCTGGGGTTTTTTGTCTTTAGGATAAATGAAGATAAGATACTCCTGCCTAGTTAACACCTGGTCCCTAGACACACACGGGCCAGGAAAAGGCCAACAGCATTAACTACTTTTTGATATTTATAATCCATTTATCTTAGTAGTTTAGACATCAAACTACAGAACATGAAAAAGAAATTGTTGGGGATAAAAGTTGTAGATAGAAGTAAACCTACAGTCAAGACAAAAATAAAAGCAACTAAGAACCATGATACTTGAGAGTTCTGTAAGGAGAGGTCTGCATTTACAGATACGATGTCAGCAGTATAGGAAACTCAGACTTGATACTGACTCCAAAATGCTTCATAGAATCGTGGAATCAGAGAATAGTTTGGGTTGGAAAGGACCTTAACATCATCCAGTTCCATCCCCCCTGCCATGGGCAGGGACACCTCGCACTAAACCATGTCACCCAAGGCTCTGTCCAACTTGGCCTTGAACACTACCTGCAATGGAGCATTTACCACTTCTTTGGGCAACCTGTGCCAGTGCTTCAACATCCTCACAGTAAAGAACTTCTTCAATATCTAACCTGAACTTTCCCTGTTTAAGTTTAAACCCATTCCCCCTTGTCCTGTCGCTACAGTCCCTGATGAAGAGTCTCTCCCCAGCCTCCTTATAGGCCCCTTCAGATACTGGAAAGCTGCTATGAGGTCTCCACTCAGTCTTCTCTTCAGGCTGAAGAGCCCCAACTTTCTCAGCCTGTCTTCATATGGGAGGTGCTCCAGTGCCCTCATCATCCTCATGACCCTCTTCTGGACTTGCTCTTACAGCTCCATATCCTTCTCATGTTGAGGACACCAGAACTGCATACAGTACTCCAAGTGGGGTCTCACAAGAGCAGAGTAGAGGGGCAGGATCACCTCCTTTGACCTGGTCATGCTCCTTTTGATGCAGCCCAGCACACGGTTAGCTTCTGAGCTGCAAGTGCACACTGAAGCTGGTCATGTTAAGTTTCTTATCGACCAACATCCCCAAGTCCCTCTCCACAGGGCTGCTCCGAATCTCTTCTCTGCCCAGCCTGTAGCTGTGCCTGGGATTGGCCTGACCCAGGTGCAGGACCTTGCACTTAACTTTTTTGAACTTTATGAGACTGGCATTGGCCCATATCTTAAGCATATCAAGGTCCCTCTGGATGCCATCCTTTCCCTCCAGTATATCAACCGAACCACACTGTTTGGTGTCGTCAGCAAATTCGATTGCGTTCAATCCTAGTGTCCATTTTGCCAACAAAGATGTTGAACAGGATCAGTCTCAATACCAACCCCTGAGGGACAAAACTCAGTTTACTACTGGACATTGAGCCATTTACTGCAACTCTTTTGTGTGCGGCCATCCAGCCAGTTCTTCATCCACTGAGTGGTCCATCCATCAAATTGATGTCTCTCCAGTTTAGAGACAAGGATGTTGAGTGGGACAGCGTTGAAGGCTTTGCACAAGTCCAAGTAGATGACGTCAACTGCCCTGCCACTGTCCATCAGTTCCGTAGCCCCATCATAGAAGGCCACCAAATTGGTCAGACAGGATTTCCCCTTAGTGAAGCCATGATGGCTGTCACCAACCACCTCGCTGTTTTTCCTGTGCCCTACCATGCTTCCCAGGAGAATGTGCTCCAGGATTTTGCCAGGCACAGAGGTGAGACTGACTGGTCTGTAGTTTCCCAGGTCTTCCATTTTCCCCTTCTTGAAAATGGGGGTTATGTTTCCCTTTTTCCAGTCATAGGGAACTTCACCTTGTTACCATAAAAGTTGATCAGAGAAACTCTTAAGATTCAGTTCAAAGATTTTGCAGCTCTGGGCATACAAGCAAATCGTTTTGCAAAGGTGAGCACGCCTGTTACTTGCTGGCAGCAGCTATATATTTAGCATATTGATGCATATTTAAGCTTTTCCAGAAAATTTTACATATTCATGAGATTCTAATGAACCAATTATAATACGTGCATTCTAATTATGCATGCGCTTTCCT